CAAAATTAGAATGCTATTGTCGGCATTTGATCGTTTTAACAACCTTAGCATATAAAGGCGTTTTCCCGCTTTTTTAACAATATGGTTCACATGCTCGTTCCATTTCAAATCATCTTGAATTGAAAGACCAAGAATTCTGGCAGATTTTACCCGCTCAATACCAACGTTATTTATAGTTAACGATAAGAACTCATGTTTTCTCTTGCAAAGTCAATTACCATTTCCTTACATTTACCGATGTTGAGCTTCATATTATTAACTTCACACCAATTATAGATAACATTCACTAGATCTTGTAGTTCACTACTCTCAGTTGATGTAACTCGTTCAGCAAACGTACTGTCATCAACATACTTCCATCTATCGCTCCAATCAATAAGAAGATCATTTATCATAACAAGGAACAAAGCCGGCCCTAACACCGACCCTTGCGGCACTCCACCGTTTAACGTTTGCCATAGTTCTTAAGAACGAAGCAACAACATTATATATTATATTTATTTATTCATATCAGGATCTTCCCGTTCCCGTGTTATGTACGCATGCATGGTCCCATGAGAACGAAGCAAAATTATGTTGATATAGTGCGTGAGTTAATTTTTGACTTAAGAACGGAGCAACAATATATTATATTATTGATATAAGGATCTTCCCGTTCCCGTGCCATGTATGTGGTCTCCGTTGAGAACGAAGGAAAATTATATTGATATATTGCGCGTCTCTTGAGAACAAAGGAACGTTTCTTAAGCGAACGTTCACAACATATTATATTGATATATTGCGTGATTTCTTAAGAACGAAGCAATTACAACATATTAGGCTATATCATGATTGATATATAAGGATCTTTCCTTTCCGCGTTATATAAATGTGGTCTCTTGAGAACGAAGCAACAACATATTATATTGATATATTGCGTGTAGGTTTCTTAATTTAAGAAAGAAACAACAACATATTATATATTGCTATATGATATATTGCGTAAGTTTTTAAGAACGAAGCAATAACATATTGTTATATTATTGATATAAGAAATGTCTACTGACTTCCATATTATTTTTCCATTGGACCAATTGACAGGTAATTTTCCAATGGAAAGGCTATTTTGTCCATTGGATCCAATGGACAGGTAAAATTCCATTGGACAATAATTGGTCCATTGGATCCATTGGATCCATTGGACCATTGGAACATCTCTCTGGTTTCATAATCATGTCCACATGGAGTCTTGCAACCTGTTAATTACGTAATGGTAAAAACGCGGAAGCTCTTATCCGGTTGATGCATTGTTCCGATCGGCAACATTCACATGGTCTGTTATTCGGGTGATGCATAGTTCCGATAGTTGATCCATTGCTGGCCAATGGACATTCCATTTGTCCATTGGATCCAATGGACACGCAAAAGTCCAATGGAAAATTGGAGGTCCATTTGATCCATTTGACAAATGGAATGTCCAATGGCCTTTTGATTATTCCATTGGACATCTTGCATAGGTATTGGACATGTATGGATTATTATGCGAACGTTTTTTTGTTAAAAATGCACATGGAGACAAATTGGGTGACCTCTTACCGCCTAAACTTGAACATAACTATAATACACGTTATGGAAGCGATTATAATAACTATAGTTGTAAAACGGACAGATTTATGAAATCGTTTTTTCCAGAGTTTATATTTCATACAATTGTTCCTGTGGATCGTTGTCTTTGTATTCTGTCCTTGTCGGGCTATAAGCGGTCATTTTGACTGCCTAAAATTTGGCATTTTAATGAAATACATCTCCAAATTCATTGTTTTTGTCGTTGAATCCTCAATGCCGTAAAAAAAGCAGTTTTAAAAGAACGTAAACATATTCATGCTGGTTAAAATAAACAACAGCTGTGGCTTTTTCAGGAAAATTCTTGATTTTTTCTCAAAACATAGGGTTATTTACGGATAATTTGGGTAAAAATTGGCATGAGCCTAATGGATATTTCGGATAAAAATTGGCAGCTCATTATTATTCTATTTGGTGGCCAGAAATCCACTAAAACTGCGTGCCGAAACCTATAGTCGCCAGCGCACAGTGCCCCAGCGAGTAACAATATGAATCCTATATATTCACAAAGGTATATTTACAAAGTCTGCATGTTTCTTATGTATAGGAAACACACCCATTTGGTGTGTCAAACTAACTCACTTTGTAACACTTATGGAAGTGTTAATTACACTTATTGCAGTGCACTTCGTAAACTTTTATTGCATATTTTTCTGACAATCTGTGTTCTACAGTTTCTAGTGTACTCTACTAGTATGAGAACGGTCCTACATTGCTGTTTCAATTAATTCACAGTGCTCTAGCTATACACGGAATAACAATGGCAGCGTTGTAACTATTAACAGTTAGGTGAAATGGTGTTAATGTTATTTGGGTAGTTATTTTCGTGGTCGGATTTTCATCGATGTGGATTTCAGTGAATAATGATATCCTTTCCAAGTGTGCCAGTTGATACCATCAGCGTATGATTTGTGTGAACCATGATGATAGACACCATTCAGATTGGATAGATGACATTTCGCATACCACCAAGCGCCTTTGAATTGAACGGCACAGTTCTTTCCATATGTATCATTGTCGGAATCTTTAGTCGAGAACGCCATACCTTTATGTAATGTGAACGAGTCTCCTGCAGTACCTAAAGATAATTACCAGAATACTTAATTACTCCCCGAAAAGAGAGTAATCTTGAAAATTACAACATTAAAATAATTACTAGAAAATACATGCGTGCTAGAAACCCTCGCCTTGCTGACAAAACCATTGAATTTTCCGAACATGAAGTATTTTAAAGTAGTTGTCATGGTAACACCACAGATGAGTTATTTACAGATATGAATCTCCCGTCATAATGTGTCACACGCTTTTTCGCACAAAATGCGCATGGGTAACCTCCTGGCAAGTGTCTTGAAAAATTTGAATCAGAAAACTAATGGGAAAAATTAAATTTTTCACAAAGAAATGGCGATTTAAAGAAAACCCTAAATACGATGTCCCATTTGACTTTAATATTTTTTCAAAAGAGGGATGGACTGGAAGTTTTAGGCTAGGAATTGGTTTATGAATCCTCATGATACTGGCGAAAACAGGGAAAAACATAGCTGAGGAGTGCAATACATGCTAAATCGAAAGTTTTGCAAACTTTAAGCACCGGTTGCGGAAACTTCTGAGCCCCCCCCCCCCTTAAGTTAAAAAAGCATGTTGAACATGCTATGGATGCAATACATCTCCAAGAGATTAGTTAAAGTAAATCAAGAAATCTTTAAAAAGGATGGAAATCTGAAAACAGTAACGGTAAAAGCTTATAAAGGACTTCGGTACTTGAAGCACAACATCCTATTTGGCACCTTGCCCTTGGTTACAAAAAAAATAACTTGATGATCCTTTGATTATTTTGTACCCAATGTTTACAAAAAAGCTCGGAATTCGATAAAGTTGTGTTTATGCCTCATGATTATGGCAATGCACGGGTCTTTTTAAAGAATTCATAAGACAAAAATTGAATTGAAGACATAATGTTCGCAGTTTCATGTTTGAAATATGCATTCAAACACTTTTATTCTTTATTATTATACAAGAAACAAATTAGAAAGACAGGATAGAAACGCAAACGAAACATTTTTAAAATATGTGCATGTCAATATTGATCCTTCTTTGTAAAGAATATAACCAGAGTTTGTCAGAGTTCAATACAAGGCATGTTCGTGAATATAAAGACAAAGATCCGCTCTACTAACTTTCGAAACTAAATTTTGAGCCATGAATAATTCCTATTTCACTTCCTATTCATAATAAAGCATACATTTACTGTTACTCTTGAGGAATTCATTCCAAAAATAGCCGTCGGCAGCGCAGATTTAAAAAACCAACAATTTTTCGTCTTTCAAACGGGCGTTTTCCTATTACTTTGCCAGCGCTCGCCGGAAGTGATTACGTGGGGCGAATTTCGTGTGACACAAAACAATCAGCAATTTGACGGGAGATTCATATCTGTATATAACTCATCTGTGCTATAATATTAATTAGCGGTGTGTAGCGATGCCCCTGAATGAATAAGGTTGACTACCCACGCACGGTAATCCACGCCTGCGATCATTGATAAATTTAAGATTCGCTAATGCTTTCCTTTCCTTTCCCCGGGGGTAAATAACATGGCGGGATTAATATCTTCACCGTTGGCTCGCGGTGGCAACATGAAATTAATTATTGGTGGAGCATACTCTTGGAAATTTTTTGTTCTCTGGGGTTTTTTGCTTTACCCCAGATGATGGGTTAGTATTGCCAGTATATATAGGCCTCATTTAAATTAAATATCCCGTGTTTACGTGAGGAAAATCAATCCTGTTCCTCAGGGCTGGCGCGTTTCCGCCAACAAATTAAATGGCTTGCATACATACCTTTACTTTCCCACCAAACCAAAAATCAAATTTACAAATCAAATTTTGAAATAATAACTAACAGACAATCCGATATTGTTCTAGAGCAAAATATTTGAACGTACACAGACTTTCAAAACCCGAGTTTGACATCGGGCGGATCACGCTTAGGAGAATCATTCCTTCACGGTAGGATCATATCCCACTTCACACTCCTTAGTCTGTTTGAACGAAAATTACTAATTAACTATATTAAATGATGAGTGCACTGCCTAAAACTGTGTCGTCTATATTAACTGATTCCATTTTTTCCCATCAACTCGATTATATTAAAATGAGGTCGCCTAAACGCAGCTCCAACACCTCTTGCGCAAACTTTAAAACGATCGCCCCTATAATAATACTCCTCTTCTGGCATCCAGGTATTTTACATTGAAAAAAATATTATTTACATGACTATCATGATCGTGGTCACAGTACAGTTTTATTAAAACTGCTTACCAGCATATGTTCCAAGACTCAATTGATATTTCTGTTGCTCACTAGTGACAGCGAAGAAATCATATTCTGCATATTTCTTGTTTCCAGATGTATCCTCCATGTCAATACGAAGTTTATTTTGGGCAGCAGTTGTTAGTCTGTGGATCTTGTCCAGTCCCAGCCAGAATTCGCCTTTAAGATGACCAAAACCATGTTTGTAATCTTGCCATCCTCGGTAGAAATTAACACTTCCGTCAAGCCGACGTTGAAACACAGTCCATCCTCCCCCGGATGTTGTCATATCACAGAAGACATTGAAACTGCCCTTGCCATCTGGATCAATCTGATAAACTCCACTTTGTCTGATTCCTCTTTTGTATAAATCAGCGCAATTCTTACCTACCAATAATAAAGTATAGATCGTTAAAATTTTCTGGAAAAGAACAGCAATGCTACGACATAGCACCATGTTAACATTTCTTATTTTTTATTTTATTTTATTTTATTTTATTTTATTTTATTTTATTTTATTTTATTTTATTTTATTTTATAAGTTTGCAATTGCAATACATCTATATAGAGTACTATGGTTACAAATGACTGGAATTTCCACACAGAGATAGTTCTCCAATAACGGGGTATATATATATATATATATATATATATATATATATATATATATATATATATATATATATATATATATATATAATTATTTTAAAATTAAAGCAAACATAACAATTAAACACAAATACAAGAAGACAAAGCTAAGCAAACGTATTGACGAATAAACGAACAAAAACTAAATTTAGCAACATGTTCGAGTTGATAAATCTCCCAATAGTCTATAATAATATCCATCAGCTCACCATTTTGGGGTTTTCTTAACAGTCTTAAAATTTCATCCACTGCGTTCTTTAGACTCCGAACTTGTCGTTGAATGTCCAGAATGGAATTTTGAACCGAAGGTTTCAATTCACATGTTGGTGATCTGGTTCTCTTCATTAGATAATTATTCTTCTCCTCAGTTTTGGAGCATTGTACTCTAGCAATGAGATTGCATGTTAATATATTAATGTGATTATTGATATAGTAATATACAGTAATCATTGTGTCAATTTTCCAATGGACTTAAAAATGGTGGAAGCATATGTTGAATAATTACCAATTGACGAATAATAATTAACCATGCAGCAATCTCATATTCGTCTAGGGCCTACAAATTCCGGGTATGTCCCCAGAAAAGTTATCTTGTTAATAAACAGTTATTGCATAAGGTTTTTGCGATACCCAGAATCATCGACCAACGTCGCTGTAAGTGTTTTCAGTGGAGCCGAAGGCGCGACAAATACCACTTACTGAGGCCTTATGTGATAATTGATAATTAACAATTATTGGATGAGGTTTTTGTGATATGCGGAATTATCAAGGTCGAGGTAAGCGTTATCAGCCGAGCCGAAGGCGAGGCTGATAACGCTTACCGAGACCTTGATAATTTTGCATATCGCAAAAACCGAATTCAATAATTGTTTTATTATACATTTGAAGAATAATAAACAGTATTTTAAATAATAAAACAATTATTGAATTCGGTTTTTGCGATATGCAAAATTATCAAGGTCTCGGTAAGCGTTATATTCAATATGATTTCTGGCAAAGCTGTTCAATTAAAACGTTTCTATAAACAAGTCTCCGGAAGTCCAACAGTTAAATTAATTACAAATATAAAAGAAACATATTATCGTTAAGATGTTAACGTATTAAAATATTTACTTGTTAAAGTAAACATTACAATTATGAAATGTACATTCATTTGAAAATTGAAATGTACACTCATTTGAAATGTACACTCATTCAATTTCACGCAACCTAACACAAAATTCAGTTATCTGCTAGCAGATAACTGAGTTATCTGCTAGCAGATAACTGAATTTTGTGTAGGTTGCGTGATTGCGCGATTTAACTGTTAGCTCTTAGCCAATCAAATTGCTTTTACCAACTACAATGTATAATAATGCTATTAAAACTGCGAGGGTGATTTTATATACACGCAAGGTGAGACAATGTCTTATATTGCCTTTAATATACTTGGTTTTAGCTATATTTGTTGAGAATGATAGTATTGGATATTAAAAATAAAAGGAACTTTATTAAATACATAAGTCT